TTTCTATGCTCAGTCAACAAATATGTCAAATATCTTAATAACATTAAAAAAAAATTTTCTTTCATAGTTAGGAATAAATTATGGCATATAATTTCCTCTGAACTTGGTTTTATATGACTGATTTTAGTTTTATATTTAAGGTTCTTTTTGACTAACTGAAGATTGGTAGAAGTAGTTAAGAATATTTAAGATTATATCATGAAGACTAAAACTGCAATGCATTTTAATTTAAAATATATTTTTTCTTAGAAATGGAGTTAATGGAACATAAAAATGTTCAGTTAAATGCACTCAAGCTGCAAAAGAATGAATTAAAGCAGGATTTATTTACTCTCCAAAGCAAACTCAAAGGTGTGCCTGATAATGACTTGTTATGATAATTATTTGTGGCTTGACAAATGCTCCTGAAAAATGTTTTCTGTCAAGTTATTTTTCTCAAGAAAAAGAAATCGTAGAAACAAGATCTTAATATATGTTTGCATTATGTAATACATCATTTTTAAACATGTTTATAACAGATATAGATTTCAATAAGATTTATTTTAAATGTCAGTGATACTGAGGTCTACAGATTTACTGAATCATAAGCTATAAATATGAAAAATAAATTTTTACCTTTGCTCTTAAGTTATATATTAAATGGAGAATTTAGTGTTTCAAAGTGAACTTAAAGTCAACATAAGTATTGTTTAAGACCCATTAACAATTAATGGTTAATTAAAGGTTCTGTGTCAAAGGTGATCACAAGTAATAGGGATTGAAGTTGAAAGCAGTTGAAATTTGGATTAAAAAAGTGTAATCTAGAAGTGGTTTAGTAACTTTTTTACCAATGTGTAAATAACATGTCACAGTAAGACAGCTAAGAAAGGCCGTAAATATGGTCATAAATTGTTTGGGAAAAGGAACAAAATTTTCTAGAAGATTGCAATATGCATACCAATTACAATAATAAAGTAACTCATGTTCTTTATTCAGATGCCTTTACCCTACAATCAGACTCATGAAGAAATATTAGAAAAGATAAATTTAGAAAATTTAGGAAGTCTTTGAATATGGATGATTAATATATATTTATAAGGTAATTGTTATTTTATGTTTAGACCTTGAGAAAGTAATCAGGGAGGCTGAAAGAATGACGAAAGATTTAGAAGCAGAAAAAGTCCAAGTCACTGAAAAATGTCAGACTGATCCTGAATGTTTAAGGTAACAGTCTCATAAGTTCCTAGATTTAATTTTAGGTCTGTAACTGCAGACAAGTCCAAGTGGCAATGGCTATTTTACCTTTTCTGTACAATATTCCTTTGAAATCAGAAGAATCATTCATTTTTATTACAGAACACAAATTCCTGTTTATTATAGCCTTTCACCCTTATATGCATACTCCAATGAACTAAAAACTGGAAGTGTTTGCAAGGAAGTCACTCAAGCTTGGAGGAAGAGCAAAAGACTGCTCCTTGGGTGGAAGGCCAGTTCTTAAGTTTTTGTAAAAATAGTGGTGGCACACAGAGTACTGATGAACTATGCAGTGCTATTCATACTTCTGCTGACTGGCTGTACAACCTTCCCCAGAGCCTGACTGCAATGGAATGGATTGGCCACAATAACCTCCTTGGGTCAGGTGCGCCTTGTACTGAAGCTACTAAATGTAGATTTCTTTTCTCTATGATCTCTACCCTCAGTTCTAGCTTGCTTTCTAATTAAGCTAGTTTAGAACAAAATTTTGACGATTCAACCAAGACAGAAGACCTTGGACAGTGTCCCTTAATAATGAATATTTCTTCCCAGGAACTGAGGGGTAATGACTCATTTCTTGTCAGTTTGCTTAAGTGAGATATTTATGTTTTCACTATACAGAAAATAATGTAATGTTTTCAACAAAACATCTTTCAATGCAGAAAGCCCCATACCACAGAATTAACCATCTTTTCCTATTTTATGGTGTTCCGGATGAAAGTGTCTGTGGATATTTAAAAATATTTAATAGACAATGCAAAGGAACTCCTCCTAGAAAAGAAAAGCTGGTCCAAAATATTCTCTAACAGAAATTGTTAGGGAAAACAGAACTTTTTTTACCATCACCTTTTTTTGCCTACATGTTTCTGGGTTTTTGACAAAAATAAATAAACATAGTAGTTTTTTTGTGAAAACTTTCAATTGAAAAATAAAATTTTGCAAAGAACCCTGAGCATTTTTCTGAAAGACAATTTGGTAATGGCCCATTTTTTGCTGAATATTGGTTTTTGAAAGAAAATGATATATCAGCCGTATTACTCTCTTCAACCTCTTACATGGTGTTGAGACACAGCCAAAATTCCCTCAGCATAAAAATTAATTAGCTCACAATTCTGCATACAGTAGCAAAAATTTTGCATTCAACATATACATAAAAGACAGTGTAAATAAAAATAACACCAGCAATTCTGTAAGACAGCATGTTGTAATTCACTCTTTTACATTCTTCATTCCATCGTGATATATTAGGTTTTGTGATACATGAGGCTGTCAACTTCCTTCTAAATAACATACTTCCCTTGGAGTAGTTTACTGCCATGATGCCACTTAATATCTAAATTGGTGCAATTAGTTTTCTATAACATTTTTCCTGTGTATAAGGTACAGAATTAGCAAACACTGTATTACTTTCAATTCCCAGCTCTGCCACTGATTGCTATGAGATCGTAGGCAAATCTTTCAAATCCATGTATGTCTGTCTTTCTATATAGTGAAATTAACTCATAGCTGTGTGGAACGATACTTTGGTTTTATCTGGGTTGGAAACACCACAGTGGATAAAACATATTAAACTATTAACTAAAAAACCAGCAAGTGTCATTTACAACCAAGGCAAGGATGATGAGATTTTCTTATTTCATAAAATGCCTCATTTTATGGTCAAGATAAGCTTAGATTATTTGATAATTTCATGTAGTGCAAAATACAAAATGCTCCTACTGCTATTACTACTATCACAAAAAGCAAGCTCTCCTTGAGGTGTAATAATATATTGAAGAAATTTTCTTTATATTGAAATATTTTTTCATTTCAGATAGTGGACAAAATTTAGGACAGATTTGCCTAAATCATACTGTTATCTTGCACTTGCTTTAGATCAGAAAAGCACAATGCTTTAGAGAGATAGCCCTGAATAAGTTAACTCAGATGCCAGAAGCAACATAGCTATGTTACTGTACTTCCATGTCAGCACTAATAGATTCTGCTTTTCAGTAGAGCCAGGCAGGCAATCCTCATTTGCCTACTTCTGTATGTCATAGCGCTGTGCTATTTAGAATTATCCCAAACCTTATCAGACTCATACAACTCTATCAATTCTTTTTTTTTAAAAAAACCCTACTCATCACTTGTTGGTTTGGACTACTGAATTAAGAGAATGAAGGTGGAATTTAAAGTATTATATATAAATAAATAGTACAGTATATAAATAGCCCCCCTGGAGGTACCTATCGCCCTCCAGTACCTACAAGGAGGTCATCAAGAAGATGGAGCCAGGATCTGCGCAATGCTGCACAGTGGGAGAACAAAAGGCAAAAAGCAGAAGTTGAAACAAGAGGAGTTTTGACTGAATTTAAGGAAAAACTTTTTTATCATGAGGATAGTATAGCAAAGGAAAAGGTTGCCCAGAGAGGTTGCATAGTTTTCATCCTTGAAGGTTTTCAGACTTGACTGGATAAAGCCCTGAGTAACCCAGTCTGACCTTGTAGCTGACCCTGCTTTGAGAAGGACATTGGGCTAGCTGACCTCCTGACATCTCTTCCAGCCTGAATTATCCAATGAACCAATTATCATTGTGCATTGCACAGCCCGTGGATCAATACATATGCACTGGCTTGTGCCTATGCTGCTCTGAGGCAGCATTATCTGCAACAAATCAGTCATGTCCACACTGCCCAGCATTTGGTGAGATCATATCTGCTCTGGTCCCTTTGTAGTGTTTCTGTGGCATTAAGATATAATGTCATGTATATACACATATTTTCCATTCAGAATGCATTAAATACTTAAGGGAGTTATGTCCAGCACAGCAGAGTGCTGGTTCAAAATGACAATACATAGCACGTGTGTTGCGTGCCCTATGATGTGCTACAGAAGTATTTGAGGGACCATGGCTGCTGCAGCAGAGCACATGCTGATGCAGTCCATGCCAAAAGTGTCTCTGGAGCAGATCCTTGAGCGAGCTATCCTGTCCACTCCTGTGGGTGCCCTCTGAAGGGAATCTGAGAATAAAGAAGAATTCATGCAGTGTCAGTGAGAAAAACTAAAGTATCAGGCACCTGGGGTGAAGCAGGAAGCCCTCCTGACAGTCTAGATACACCTGTGGCACTTGCAAAGGACCTTTTGCAGCCAAAGTGCCAGTTGGTGCAATCTTACATGTACTAGTGTATAACTTAATAGGAGTCAGTTTTGGTCATGTTAAAAATCAATGTGACTGAACCTACAGTGTTTGAGGAAGAACCCTTTTTAGCCTAACAAGATAAGCTTTTTTCCCCATACAGAATCTACTGCAAAACCAGAATTTTAGTTTTTACTGAAAAACATATTTAGTATATATAAAGAGAAAAATATTTTAACACGAGTAATGTGGATCAAAAATACATATATTTTTCTATGAAATAAGCACAAAACCTGATTCTTTTTTTACAGAGCAGGAAACCACACCACTCTCTAAATGGTAAAAATACCAATGTTTTTAATGCTTCCCTAGAACAAATGTGAGAGACAGTCAGCATCAATAACCTGATATATGTAGCTCCCAGACCACCCCATAAGTCTGTTATTGTATCACATACCTAGTCCCAGCTTAAAAATCAATATCAAAAGTAGCTGGCAAGGCAAGAATCTTCATTACAATTCAGTATATATCTTAAAGTAAATTGCATTTCAGCTGAAGAGTGTAGCCAGCTAATTCAAATTACAGCAATTCATCTTTGATCTGAGCAAAATGCCCTATACCATGTCTGCAGTTTCATAAAATTTCTCCCAAATCCATCAAAGAATTACAAAAGGTCATGAGAAACACACACCAGTAATTCCAACAGCTGTTGGTGCTGCAGTTACAGGCTTGTTCTAATACAGATCAGATACAGGAAAAGGCTAACCAAAATTTGAATGTTAAGCACAGATACAGTTATGGATAAGACACTACCTTCTTCCTCAAAGTAGGCACCCTGGAAGTCGCAAGTCTCATGATACAGGTGCATAATTCAGAGAAATATTTAAGAAAATAGAGCTTTTTTTCAGAGAAGATCTGCAATTAAAACCAAAAGCCTTATTTTAATCATCTGTTCTGCCAATCCCAACCTGAAACACAAAACAGCAGGAAAGAACTTTGGCATCAGCTCTCTTGAGTCACATTTTCCTGGCAGGTAGCAAGTAGCATCCCTTAAGTGGAACGATACTGGAGTTAAGCAGAGACTAACTGATATCAGTAAATTCCTAGCTATGTCATTTCACTATTATATTCATTGTAATTACTTACTATATTAATTATTTATCTTCTTTCACATTTTAATTTTAAATTTATGTGTTGCCATATGTAAAGCAACCTAGAAATAATTTTAATTAAACTTTATTTAGACTAAGAACAGACAGTTTCTACCCCAAATTGATATTTTTCACACTATTCTAAAGATAGACTAAGGTTAAATTGTTTTTTTGAAACCTGAATTTCTGTTCTACTTCAGAAAAGCAGCAGCAGAAGGGAAACGCATGAAGTCAGCTTACTTTGTAAATAGTTCAAAGCTTTGTATACTTGCCTAATTCCTAAAAATACAGTATTGTTTCCTATACTTCATAATACAGAAAAAGAAACACCATTACCAAAATCAGGAAGAAAAAGCCATGCTTTCTTTCATACGAATCATACAGGAAATATGTTCATTTGAGCTGAACAAATGTTTCACGCTAACAGTGGACTGCCTAAGGCCATGCAGGGTACTGGTGGTTTAAAAAAAATATATATATATTTGCAATTTAATTTTATGTTAAATTTTATAATCAGGAAATATCAATCTCTGGAGTAATATATGTGGTTCAAAATGAGTTTTTTAATGACAATCTCTTCATTGATTTTTTAAGCTTTTCTTTTTAATAGCAGTGCCCAGTGGAACTATTATAGTTTGAATTATGTTAAAATAGGTTTGCATTATAAATTGCGGTATGGATTTACAAAAAATAGATCAAATCCA